CCTGAGTTGAGTTTTGTGGAGTTGTGTAAAGACAATGATATCAATGCAAAGATTTTGGAGTCCATTCAAAAAGAGGGCAGACTTTCACAACTAAGTAAGACTGAGATCCCCGCGAAGATTAAGTTGTGTTCCGAGGAATGGGTTCCCGACACGGGATTAGTCACCAATGCCCTCAAGATTAGACGTAAAAACATTCAACAGTACTATCAAAAGGATATCGATTTAATGTATGGTATCTATAATGATACTTCATAGAGATATACAATAATTAATTAGATATTAACACTCATTTCTAATTATATTCTATAATCTATATAACTTAAATTAACAATTTTATATACCTTTTGTATTATTTCAAGAATTATTATAAATATTATTTTTGTTTTTAATAAACAAATTAATTCTAGTGATAAAGTGTATGTATAATTTATTTTAAATAACATTTTTTTCTATACAGTACATTTATCACATACTGTACTATACTGTATATTAAATTATATCAAGGAAATGAATAAAAATAGTAATAATTGTATTGAATTTAAAAATAGATTTATACAATATTATAAACTTTATAATAAACTTAGCATTAATATTATCATATGAAAAAATTGTATGAATAAAGATACAAGTTATGTAATGACATAATTATATGAAATGTTCAGTAAATGCATTGAAGTCATTAAATGGTAACAGTATGGCCTACTTTCACCTTCCGGTGCCGTTTACTAGGTTTGAATGAAGTGGTTGTCTCTGACCGGAGCGGGTCTTTACGTCTTTCAGATTGGGATGAGTCCGGGGAGTCTGTGGTTGACTTGTTTTTGGTGATTTTGGATGAGTCCGCTTTATCCCATTCAATGGGAAGATCGTCAACCGACACAACCAGTACAACCAATTTTATGATCAATGTTAAGGCTATCACAAGTAATACACCGTTCACTCCAATGAATATCCATTTCAGTGTCTCGCATGACTGGCACGGATCAGCTATAGATATGGATGAGTTGGTTGAACTTGGATCCATTGGGTTGGGTATCGTATCGGATATCATGTTTGATTCTGTAGCAGATCCAGAATTATTACCATCTACTGAAGTTGATATCACATATGAATTGTGTGGTAAGCAATACAAGACCTACCACACAATAATTATAACAACACATTTATATTTCATTATTTGTTTGACAATTACAGTAGTTTTGGAAAAGTTAACAAAAAATTGTCATATCAGTGAATAAGCATAATGTAGTCTGAATGTACTATTCAACAGTAAATGTGATTCAATTTAAAGTTTTAAACATAAATCTGGTGACAACTTATGTTTTCAACAATATAACGGATTGTAAAGTAGTACTAATTTGAAAGTTACAATAATTCGCCAGTTATTTCAATGAGAAGTTAGCTATGAGTTACACAATAGTGACCATTGGATTGGTGTTAATATTTGGTTCAAATGAGTTATTGTGTAAAAAGTATGAGGACCTCAAGAACACCAACGAAACCATTGAGGATGTCTTAACGATATCAATAGACCCCGAAACCCAAGAGATATCTACATCTACTGTCGTAGTGTTGTGTTTGGTGTCACTATTCATAGCGACCGTATTGTTTGTAATCCTGGTGTTTGTGGCTCATATGGAAAGGCATAACTACCTGACCCTTCGTAAGGAGAATCTGAACGTCGATATGTCGGACATCGCGAGCACTAAACTCGATATTAATCTTTGATTCACAACTTTATTTCATTAGTAAACCGTAGTTTTTATCGTTTTATCAAATGTATAACAAAATAAAAAGTTTTATTTAAATATTAGTTTTGAATGTAAAATATGTGCAGAATTTTTGTAACAAATACTTAAGACTTAATAAAAACAGAAAACATTAACAAAACAAGAGATAACATGAATTAATAATTGACAACAAAATAGTGTAAAAGACAGACAAAGACCAGCGTTAGTGACAAATGATGAGCGGATGAGGCATTCCTGTGCTTATGATTCCAGTGCTTTCCGTGGTCCGGGTGTTTGTGATCGTGTGGGTGGTGGCGTTTCTTCGGTGGAGGTGTGCCCTCCCGTTCCCTCTCATCCGCCACTCCATTATCGACAGATAACTGTGCGCTCTTCGGCCGGACTTCGACGACATTACTGTCTTCAACACATTTGTCTGATTTCCAGTACTTGTCGAAGAGTTCATCTAATTTTCCCGATCTCTTCATTTGTCTCAAGGCGTCAGCGATGGCGTACCTCTGGAGCAGA